ACCCAGAACCAGGGAGTTTCTTACAGACTAATGTAACCACAGAAAGACTATGTGTTCTATGCATTATATTGTTAAAATGATTTTTGAGCCCTAGCTGGTTTGGCTCAGTGGATAGAGCGTTGGCCTGCTGAGTGAACACGGGTCCCGGGTTTGATTCCAGTCAAGAGCATATGCCTGGATTGTGTGTTCGATCCCCAGCGGGGGCGGGGGATGGTGCAGGAGGCAGCCGATCAATGATTCTCTCTCATCATTGTTTCTATGTCTCTCTCCCTCTACCTTCTTCTCTGAAATCAATAAAAATATATTTTTAAAAAAGATTCTTCATTGGTTTTATAGAGACATGAGCTACAATGGAGAAGCATATCAGTAATATTTATTACATATCGTTAGTACTGATAATCTTAAATTCCTGGCAGTTGGAAAAATAATGTTCTTCTTAAAAAGCAATGAATCAAAAAATTATTGGTTTATAAATGAGGTTCTGTGTAGTTATAAGATTATAAATTTAATGTTCCCCTGTCTTAGCTTTTCTTCAATATCACCCTCTCTTGGTAATTTTTGAGTAACAGGTACTACTCACATTTTAGATCCTATCATCTTAAATATGTCCCAATTTAATAGTAAATATGTCATTAGCTATTAGGAAATTAAGTTTCTTTTCTTAATCAATTCTTAGATAAATTTAATTTACTACAACAAGCTTGTTGAAGTAAATATTCATGCCCCATCAACTCTCAGATGTGTCTAGTAATGAAAGAAAACATGATAATTAAACATTGATGTGATTTTGTATTTTTATATATGTTTTAGTTTTAATAATTTTTACTGAAATATATGATATTAGTTGCTAACTTCTGAGCATGTGTAATTGGCCAAGTAGTGAACTGACCCATCCGTTTGGAGAGAAAGTGGTACATCCACTTCCCATCAAAGTGTTCAATGGCCTCCTTTATAAATGTGCTGGGAGATCACCTATGCTGGGTGTTAGGCTCACTCTTAGTCAGAAATGGAAAAGAGCTATCATAAAACATATTCATTAAGGTCATATTTATCCCTCTATTCTAATGTGCAACTCTTCATTTGAATGGAGCTCTCCTGAATTTACAACATCACTGCTTCAGATTTAATAGCAGTCCTTAAATTTCATGTCTATCTGTAATTGGCATTTATTACCAGTGACCCCCCCTCACCCATCACATTTAATGATCATATTCATAAAAGTAGTGCCTTAGGTAAGTTTATATTGATTATGCTTCATGAGGTAATTGCCAAATGGATCTTATTGAAATTAGTTTAGAATTTTTTCATGACCTAAATGTAGGATACAAGTGCTTAACCTAAGGCAGAATTAAATTTTAAAAATTCAAAACTATGAGCTGCTGCTTCTTATCTCCGTGTTGCTTTCTTATTATAGTTAAATCAGGAGCCCAGTGCACGAATTTGTGCACCTTGAAAGGAACTGTGGGCTGTGAGGCTGCGGTGGGCACAGGGGCAGGTCTCGGCCCATCCTCTGTGCCCCCATCTGGCCCCTCCCGCTGTGGCCCCCGGTCCTGTCTGCTGGCAGCCCTACTCCCGCTGCTGCTCCCATGTGCTGATAGCACCGGCCCTGCTTGCACCCACTGACAGCGCAGAGTGATTGGGGCTGGCACAGCAATGGGTGTGAGCAGGGCCAACACTATCAGTGGGTGCGAGCACTGGGCAGATCGCAGCATGTGGGAGCAAAGAATTTTCATTAACCACCAGAGGCTCACCCCGATGACAACAACCAGCGCCCTGCCTTGGTCTGGGGCCCCCACTCACCTGCTCTACCATCCTGCCGTGGCCAATGCCCACCATGTTCTGTGCATGCCCTCTGGTGGTCAGCATACGTCATAGCAACTGATTGGTTGTTTGGTTCTACCTTTTGGCCTATTTGCATATTGGCCCTTTATGATATAGGATTCCTCATCTGGGATTATAGCTTTCATAAGAGTATGCCAAAGTTCTATCCAAAATACTGTTCAGAAGATTCTGTTGAATACATATGTTTTATATGCAGTTTAATATATTTGAAGGCCTACTATGTGGAGCTCTACTTCCCCCCCGCCATCCCTTCTCTTGGAGAAGACAATTTGAGCAGTGTTTTGCATTTATCCTTGAGATGGTTATGAATCTATTTTTTCTTTCTTGGATAGACAAGGAAGGAAGTAGAGGCCCCAGAGGGAAAGGCAAAGACTATGCACTAACTCAGAGCATTAAAAGGCAATCTAAGGCCATGATTTTAATTAGCCCTCACAATCTCAGCAAGGTGAATGGACCATCTGTGGTACAGAAGGAGAGAAACTGCTGAGAGTGGTCAAAGGGCATTTCATGCCAAAGTTGTCCTCAGGTACAAGAACTATGCATTATCCCAGAAGGAGTTTGAATCTGTAATAGGACCAAACTAAATTAGACAGAGGTGTTTTAATTAAAGTTGGCAGGAGTTAGTGTCAGTTGTACTTGCTAATTCTCAAGGACTAGAGAGCAAAGTATGACATTTCCTTCTTTACATTTTAAGCATTTTTCTGTTTTGTTATTTCATATGTGAAGGTATAATCATTTCGCTATTTTTACATAGCAAGGTATGTATTCATCCGCAGTATAGCATCATATATATGAGCAGGAAATAATCAAAGTGTAACTAATACTCATACACTGGAAACTCATACCATATAAGCAAGGCTCCTACCACCACTTGATGGTAGTGTCCCTAAGGGCAAAAAACACCAGCTTGAAAACATATCTTAAAATAGTGAACTCTGTTAAAGCATTTGGAGTTTCTATCTGTACATTTTTAAATCATTTATTCACTCATTCAACAAATATGTACTGAAAATGCAGTAATTTTGTTGCCTGAATCTTTGTGGAAAAAACAACTTTATTGAGATATCATTTACTGTGATTTGCTTACTGTAATTTTGCATTTGAAATATATGTTTTACTGTTTTTCAGTATAATCACAGATTTGTACAACTCTATTCAACACAGCCAGTTTTAGGACAACTTCTCACCTCGGAATGTAACCCTGTACCCTTTACCTATCCCCCTTATATCCCCCTGTTCTCCCTCCTCCCCTGCCTAACCCAACACCCCCAGCAAACATCAATCAACTTTCTTTCTCTGTAGATTCCCTATTCTGGGCATTTCATGTGAATGAAATCATGGAATATGTTCCATTTTGTGACTTATCTCTCTTTAACTTAGCATACTTTTGTCAAGGTTCATCCTTATAGTATTTCATTCCTTCTTATGGCCAAATAATACTCCATTGTATAAATATGCCATGAACATTAGGATTATCTTCACCTTTTGCCTCTTGTGACTAATTCTTTATAATCATTTGTGTACAATTTTTTATTTGGACCTATATTTTCATTTCTCTTGGGTATATACTTAGAAGTGGAATTGATCAATCATGTGGTAACTATGTTTAAACATTTGAGGACCTACCAGTTTTCTATGCTGACAATACCATTTTCCATGGTATGAATAGAGTATGAGTATTTCTATTTCTCCACATCATCACCAACACTGTTATTAACTAACTTTATTTTATTGTATCCAGTCTAATGAATGAGAGGTGGCATCTCATGTGGGTTTGATTGGGATGACTAATGATGTTGATTCTCTCTCATGGGTTTATTGGATATTTGTATATTTTTGTTGAAGAAGTGTCTATGTAGATCCTTTGCCCATTTCTAATTGGGTTATTTGTCTTTTTATTATCGAGTTGTAATGGCTTTTTATGGGCATATGTGTTTGGGGTGAGGTATATCACTTTCCTAGGAACAGGTTACGTGAAATGTCACATGGAGAAACTGCTGAAGGCAACATGAGGTCATTGGCTACCTGGGTGAGAATGTTTGAGTTCAAAAAGACATTTTTCATGCTTTGTTTTCTGAAGCTGACACTGTGTCATGTATGTGCACTGCTCTTTAATCATTAGGTCTGACACCATGTGCACTCATAAGGTAACCCTTTCTCTGTCCCGTACTTCCACAATTTCTCGTTAATTCTACTATTAACACTTAACACATTGGTAAGGCAGTTTCCATAGAAATGCATACGGTCAGTTGTAATCACATATACATGAAATTGGTTTCTCAAGGGAAGGGGTTGTATCTGAGTTATTTTCATGGCTTTAGTAACCTGCATACTAGTTTGCATGAATTAAACATTTAAGAAATATGTAAAAAATGCAGATTTTTCTCTCTCAGAATTAAGTTTTCATCCTGAATGTTGAATTTTAGTATGTGAAGAAATTTGTCATTTATTTCATCCTTCTTGTGACAGAAAAATCTTTGTGCACAGTGCTCAGACTTAAGCCTTCTTTCTCATTTTATCAATATTCTGGTGGTTCAGAAAAGCTGTTTTTATGCATGAAGTTTTAACTGCACTACATCATGTGCTAAATTTTAATAGAGATATTTTGCTAGATATTCCTTGTGAAACATATTTTGGGTACAAGTTCGGTATGAACAAAGTGGGCAAAATTAAAGGTGGAGCAGCTACACAATCTCATCAAGATGAAGGATAAACCTTTTTGTTTACCAACATTCCCAAGACTGTGTTTTTATTGCTAGGTATTCCTAAAATAATAAACAAGCAAACAAGACAAACAACACAAAAATTTGCAGTGGTTCCTTCAACTTGGGAAATGTTGGCTCAAACAGAGTTAAAAAGGTACATACGACAGGACTTTCCAGAATCTCAAACAGGCTAATAGTGTTAGGGGAATGCTGTGTGCAATTACAAAGGTGGAAGAGGTAAAACTTATTTTCCTTCTGACCCAGCGTCAGGTCTATTTGGAGACTGAAAGAGTGCTTCAGGTGAAGATTCTCCTGGTACCATCAGTACAGCTTCACCGATTTGGCTTATATGCATTTGCAATGTACTACATACATTTCTATGGAAACTGCCTACCCCACTAAATGGGATTTCTACCACAGTTAATGGGTGTAGTCGATATTTTATTCTTGCAGTTCGGACCCATTACACATTCTGCAAGAAGCAACATGATTCCATTTTAATCACAGCCCAGCGCTTCCCTCCTGCTGAGAAAAATAAATGTGATATTTGTGAGTTTGCATCCACTGCTTCTTTAGAGGACCAGCAAAGAAAATAATTAGCCCGTGATTAAATCATATAATTCAATTTTCCCCTGCATATGTTCTTACTGACAAAGTAGTTCATGAATTCAACTGTCGAATGCTCAGTAATAACACTTTATCACCAATTTATCGTGCATGAAAACACAAGAAAATTTAAATGAGCTGGGGGATTGTGGTGTGTGAGTGTGTGAGAGAGTGTGTGATTCTTAAAGGATGGTTAATCAGATCGAAGCGGTGGTTGTGCAAGTAACATTGTATTTCTCCATTGGCATGTTAATTTAGCTTGCAAAATACCTCTGAAATTAAGATTCACCAGGTCATTATGTAGATATATGCAGGAAGGCAGCGTGAAAAGAGGAACATTTTCCTTGTTTGACTTTTAAAACAATAATAAAATACTAATAAGTGAAATTCTGGCCTCTGAAGAAGATAGCCATGTTCTCCTCACCATCCTTCACTCTCTTCCATGGAAAGAGAGAAGCAGGGTCGTTCTCAGTTTTCACTTCCACAGCGAACTGCTTGGTGTTCTTCACTGAGGCTTGATTCTTTATGGACACTGCATGCTCATCAGCATCTCCCTGAAAGCAGGAGCACTTGTATGGTTATGACTTTCATCTTCTATCCTATCCTCACTTCCTCCTGCCGCATCTTGCTTATCTCTCTACTCCTTCAACTTACCCCAGTTTGCCCTTGCGGTTGTTACTGGCAAGTGGCCATGAACACATCTCGGATCTCTAAGCATTGTCTGTGCAATGGACCAGTGACAGCTAACCCGCAGACCTGTTATGAAGATCAGACTCAGAGATAACGCACGTTCAGTGCAGCTCCAGGACAGTGCCTGGAGCAGAGCAGATGCCCAGCAAGTGGCTTTGTTATCACCGTTGTCATTACCTGCACATGAACACGCATCCTCCTTAACTGTGCAAACTCAGAATAGCAAGTCTCATTCAGATCGCGTCCTCAGTGAGAGAGCTCTTGCCATCTCTTGCCATCTCTTGACATTTCAAGAAAACTCAAGGAGAAAGACACTGTGATAAAGACGTGTATTACAGGTGACTCTGAGAATAGCAGAACTTAAGCAGGGGAGCAAAATTTATCATAACTTACAGGATCACTGAATCAAAGTTGTAGAAGTGGGGACTGGAGCAACGTTAAGGAGAGGAGATGAAGACATTGTGCTGCTTTGTGGGACCAAATAGTCTAGGGACGAGAGTGTGAACCAAGGTCTGGTACATAAGAAGCATTATAGATTAGCTATTATTATTTAAAAACTAATTTGAGCTGAATATATTATAAGTTTTCCTGAGGGAGTTTAGGAATTGTGTTACCATTATTTATACTTTACCAAAGATTATGAAAAATGTTAACGATGTAAGTTATTAAGAAAATCACCCAGAAAATAAATACTCTCAATTAAGTTAGCTTCAGATAGACAGGAATATTTGTCATTTATATGTATAATGCATATGAACAATGTCAAAATAAGTAAATAGAGCTTTGCTGAATAAATATGGCTTCAGTGTTGCAATATATTACACCCAGTCATCAGCTTTGTGCCTCCTTTTTCTTATACCTTACATTTAACCCATTACAGTTAAAACTCCAGAATTATTGTTTAAAATATATTTTTATTGATTTCTGAGAGGAAGGGAGAGTTAGAGAGAGATAGAAACATCAATGATGAGGGAGAATCAATGATGATGATCGGCTGCTTACTGAATGGCCCACAATGAAGATTGAGCCGAAACCAGGCATATGTCCTGACCGGGAATCAAACCTTGACCTCCTGGTCCATAGGTCGAGGCTCATTCATTTAAATCTACCCAATTCCCTTCATCCTGAATTACTTCACTCTGAATTCAAATAATTTCATCTGTTACCTGGAGCAGGCCTCTAACCAACCACCTAACTCTTTCTTCCAGTCTTACCATATTATAACCCTCTCTCACCCAGGGTGATCTTGTTAACAGGTGAATCAGAATATGGGATATTCCTTCTTAGAAACTACAAACTTTTTATTTTTTAGACTAAACTAAGAACTCTTTACTGCATCCTACCGCATAAACCACTGCAGGATTTAGCTTGCGTTCACTTTTCTAACTTCATCACCCTTCCTCTGTTCATCAGGCTCCACTGGTAATGGCCTCCTGCCTTTTTTTTTGAACAAACCAAACAAGTTCCAATCTCAAAATATGTGTCTGTAGATCTTTTGCCCTAGCTCATACTGCAAACACCACATCTTATGCGATTTGTCCTTGTCCGTTATGACGAAATCAGTCTCTCCCAGTGACTCCATCCCACCACCCACCTATTGTCTCCTTTGTAGTACATATTACAATGTGCTGTGCGTTATTATCTGTGTACTCATTCAACGTTTTTGTCTCCACCAAAGCTGAGATCTTCTCTGTTTTGTTCAATATTACATTCCCAGAAGCTAATCAAACAATCAATAAATCTGTTCATATAATGATAAATTGCCACCATCATCATCGGTATTGATGTTTACAGAACCCACATGTGTTGAGCACCCATTTAGGTTCCAGGCATCGTGCCAACTTATGTGCTTTCTTATTTCCTACTCTAACAAATCTGGAAGGGAGGTCTGCTTCATCTCCATTTTAAAGGTAAGGAAATGGAGGCTCATCGGCATGATTACTGTCATTGTCATTTTCATTATCAACGTCACCGTCATGATTTCCGGAAGCAGAACTAGAATTGGCTTGCTTTTCTCGCACCTTGACCGGAGGAAGCAATAGGCCCATAGATGTAGAAAATCTCATCAAGATGACACACATGAACTGGTCAGAAAGGTGCACCATCAAGCGATGGCTTTCAGCAAGTGGCAAACAGATGGCCACCCTGGAGGCTGTGTAATCCTCAAAGTGCGGTCTCCGTGCCAGCAGCACTGGCATTGTGAGCCTGTTACAAATGCCCTGACCTACTGGGTCAGAATCTCTAGGGTTGGGGCCAGGAAACTATCTAAAGAAACCTTCACAGTAATTTTTAACGAACTGCATTAGGACAAGGAAGCTCAATCTGGCAGTTAGCCAAGGAAACAGGAAATTCACAAGAGTAGGCAAGACATTCATGTTCAAAAATCAAACCACACAGACAAAAGTCAGGTTAGCAGGCCATGCACAAAGATGTGGACCTGTTGTTAAAATGGGAATGTAGGGAGGCGATTGGTCAGAAGGAAAAACAGTCAAAGTTAGATAGCAGGGCAGGGCAGTGAGTCAGAGTAAGACTAGACAGCATTCAGGTGGACTTGATCTTCTCACCTGTAGCACTTGCTCAAGTTCTTGAGATCCCTGTCTGGTACACAGGATTAGTATCAGTACATGAGTTTGGACTAAGCCAAAAGTAGAGTAAAAAATGCTTCACCATCCCTCATGTTTTACAGACTGAAAGAATGTGAGTGTGGGGAGGCAGGAGGGCCTTTATGGCTGCACGGAAACAGGTCTGTAAGTTTGCAGATGACTCAGATGCTGTTCTGATGGGTGAGATGGATGGGTCCTGCAAGAACATTTTGCAGTGCTATGTGAATAGGCAAAAAATAGTGGAAAAATTTCCACTGTGGAAAGTGTAAGGGGAAATATAATTCAAGCTACGCTGATAAAATGAATTATTCTCTCTGCTACTACTGTGTCTAGAAAAATGTTATCGGAATCTCTGTCAACTGTCCCTTGAAGACAGTCCAGTGTAGAGTGGCAGTTCAGAAGGTCCACCAAATGCCAGAGATAGCTATGATAAAAGTGAAAAAAAAAACACCAGTATTATAAAATTGTCTTAAAATTTTCAACAGAACTAATAATATTTCTGTACTTGGAGTAGAGTTCATAGTTCTATTCAGTGCATTCCAATAAGGTTATAAAACAGTCAGAGAAGCCTGAAAGGTTAACAGAAATGATCAAAGGAATTAAAATAGTAAGACCAGATGAGGAATTTTCAGTTCTGAAAAATGATGGGTGAAAAGGGACATCAAATTTATGTCCATGAAGATATTAGGTAATAGAGCATGGACATGCTCAACAAATTCAGGAATACTTTACTTAGAAGAACTCACTTGAATCTTGAAGGTAATTTTATGACAATAAAAGAAGCAAGTGTAGAACTTCTTTATACGGTTGTAAGAGAAACACAAAGTCTATTCTTGTATTGCTATTATTAATTATTGTGTTATTTCCCATACAAACAACTGTAATTATACTTTTGCCCCCACCCTGTATACCTGTTGGTACATTTATTGATGTTGTTCCCCATGAGACCCCATGAGAGAGTTTACAAACTAAAAATATGATAAGGAACAAAAATAACTATTTATTTATGGAAAATGAGATTCAAAATGCTTTATAAAAGAGAAGCCTAGGTTATTCTGGACATTTTCTTCATGTTTAAAAGAGACATTATTTTGGGGAAATCCAAAACTAGGCATCCTCATGAAAAATAAAGTCCAGGAACTGAAGATTGAAATAGTAATAAAGTTTTGCACATAAAAAAAAGTTTTGCACACTCATATACACACACGCATATGCATAGACATCTATGAATTTATATTTACTTTTAAAATAAAATATTTTATCATTAAAAATATGTATGCATTAATGATAAGTACATTTGAAAATACAGACTAGTAGATTTAAAAAAAATCACACATAGCTTCATTATCCAAAGGTATCTACTATTAATATTTTACTGTACTATTTACTACTTGTAATTTTCATTTATCTGATTTTTTTTATTTTCAATATATATTTCTTTATTGATTTCAGAGAGGAAGAAAGAGGGAGAGAGAGAGAGAGAAACATCAATGATGAGAGAGAATCATTGATTGGCTGCCTCCTGCACACCCCCAACTGGGAATTGAGCCTGCAACCGGGGCATGTGCCCTTGGCCAGAATTGAACCTGGGACCCTTCAGTCTGCAGGCTGACACTCTCTCTATCCACTGAGCCAAACTGGCTAGGGCCATTTATCTGATTTTAAAAAAGCATTCACTGCTTCTAGGATTGTACTATTAACCATGTAGACTGTTTATTTAATATAGGCATTTTTAAAATCATAATGTGAAAATACTAATATTCAATTCAGTTTATGACTATGTAGGACTTTTGCTTAATATTCAAACTAAGTTTAGACTACAAACTGTTTAAAATCTGGTTTTAATATTCAGGTTTATTATACACAGAAATTAAATAGTTTTCTAAGTTTATATTTCTATAATTATGGCATTTTATTTATAATGTTTTTTTGTTTCACATTTTAATATTATTTTGTTTGGTATGTAAAGACTTTTTAGATGTGTCTTTTAATAGCACATAGGTGCCTCACAAGTTTTTCATATCTAACCAGTTTGAAATGCTTTGCCTTTTCTAAGGACTGTTTCACTTATTCATATTGTCACTCATAATTTAAATTATTGTCATTAGATATTTGAAATAGAGTATTCAGGTTTGAATAATGGTATTGTTATCTAGCTATATTATAGTATGAAGATTTAGGTTAGATAGTGAATTTAAAACACTGTATAGTGCCTGGCACAGAGTAAGCATTCAAATTATTATTGTTGTGATTATTTTCTCTGTCTTATTTTATACCTCTCTTTAAATTTGAATACCATTTTGGCTTTTTTCCTTGTTTATATGTTCTACTGTATAGATTTTTTATGGTTTTAATTTTTGTAGTAACTCAGAAGATAGAAGCACTATTAAATTTTTACAGGCAATTAACTAAATTGATAAAATAGCTACATAAATCTATATTTAGAAATATGCATATATTCTCCAAATATGTACTTACATCTCTATATTAT